GTCCAGTCGTCATCGTAATAGCCCTTGCTTCCTTTGCCTTTTCCGCTAGATCCGTAGTAATAGTAGCCCTTCGTTCCTTTGCCACTTCCTTTCCCGTCCCCCTTGCCATCATTGTGCTCATGAGTTACTTTGTAACGGTAATAATCGGAGCTAGAGGAGGCAACATATCCTCCTTTTCCCTTGCCCTTGCCATAACTCTTCGAGGATTTGGAGGCCTTCGAACCACCTTTTCCTTTTCCTTTTCCTTTTCCACCCTTCCCTTTTCCTTTTCCTTTTTCCTCAATAGAAAAAAATAATTCCTTCTCCCAGTAATCGTCATACGATATACCCAGCTTGCGTATCTTTTGGTCATTGACCTCTTCCTTTTCAAAGACTTCTTCCTCGATCTTGTTCAATTTAGTTGTGGGAAGACGAACGCTTTGAACTTTCGAATCTATTTGTTCATTAACCTTCTCATTATGAGCAGGGATCATGAAAAGGGACTTTCTGCCATTGGTGTTGGTACGGCGCTTCTTSTTGGCATCCGTTGCACCATCTCTAACTCGCAATAGAGACTGGGCAGATGCTAAGACGGCATTTACCGCAACCACGATCGATAGAATCTTCATGCTCGTAATGATTCAATTATATGATGAAGAAACCTGTGCTTTCTGTTATCGATGCCTGGGATTGTGAGAACTATATATACCCAGAGAATCTATGGAAAGTTCACCGATATTGTATGAGGACTAGATATTGTTACGTATTCAAAAAATACCGCGTATYAATTSAGGTTTTGGTTGAAAAAAATCGCACCGGCGATAAAAARCAGTCTCAAATTTTGCTTACGAGTAATGGAGAGAGGCAATTAGCAGCGGTAGTTAGGAAACGTGACTGGAAAGATTWWCATCACTATCCATGTGAATGCCAATTCCCGCGTCCAYGAATTAGATAACGGTGAAAAGMACGCACTTATTTTCGTTTTTACGAGTAACATGAAACGTGTACACGAGATACGATTTGAGCTTCTTAGGATAYRGGATGAGTGATGAGAATTACAGAAATATGTTRTTCGTATGTTCATGTTGAACACTTCTACTAGCTACTACCACTCCTAGCGCTGCTAGGAGTATTACAGTCTTCGTGCAAGTAGCAGCAGATTTATGTGATGCACGCAGTGATATTACGAGTATCATAATAATGTTGTACCTCCTTTCCCGGTTTTCAGTAGATGAACTCTGAACGGAAAATAGAATAGCACGAGAGGCAAAAATCCGAAGAAATTGAGTCGGGTTTGACAATGGCGGCATTAGTAGGATTGTCACCTCCGTTTTGTACTACTAGATGCGGTACTAATGGTGGCAGATGGTATCACTATCGAGTCTTACTATCTTGAGAACAAGATGTAATCATATGATGGAGTAAGGTCTTACCAAGTGGTGATGGGTATGATTGGGGGAAGAGTTAGAACAGCGGAAAGATTTCAATGCATATAAAGAATCATGAAAACGACAAGCATCATTCTTTCCCAGACTTCGCATTGCACATTTGGCTCCSAAGTGAAGATTCTACCAAATTGATAATGACGTTGCACTAGGATCGTATGTCKCAGTCGTATCAGTATTCTAACAATCTACTCTGCTCTGAGACCTAGATTGGAAAATCCAAATGATTCATTATAATACATCAATTAAAAATAATCGTTATCGTYGAGGAAGGCGCATTCTATTTCATCCCCATCTCGAGTCTCCTACTCCTACTCTTTTGTCACAAGGGAAGAATAATTGACAAACTCTWCCAGTTTCATTCCTACCTTATGATGTTCACATCCAAGGTATTCAAWTGGTGTGATCTTTTTACTTGACACCGCAGACATCCTTCGATTCCCCTGTATCTTGACTTGTCGCTGAAATTTGAAATCTCCACCACGGGAACAAGAGCTGATAGAATTCATTCTACATAGATCTGCCGTGTTTTGTTTGCGGGCCTCACACGACACTGCAGKGTACYTCGTTTTTTGTTCCTTTCCCTTGTGTTTAGTATAGAATTCCTCCACCTCCGAGAACAACCAATGCGGCGACACCGACACAAATGTATAGAATGACATTCGTTTGTTTCTTTTCCGAATCCAGCCCGGTCGATGCTTCTGCCATGAGTCTTTGTCTCATCGAATCGGAAATACCAGTCTTAATTGGTGCGGAATCGATCTTTGATTTTTGTTTGAGGAAAATTAACAGACAAGGGAAGGAATGTTTCGTGAGGATCTCGTCGTCATTTTGATACCATGTCAAAGTTTAAAACCGAAAAACGTCAAAAAATTGCTTCATCATTCCACTTACTTCGTCGTCGTAAAATGTCCCGTCTGCCGATATTTTGCTGGCTGCTGCTTCCTCCTCTTCAGACATTTTGAGAACAGAGGCCAACATATTCTTCGATTGCAATAACTGAGCTCCCTGAACCGATCGAGCTGTTTGCATCGTGAAAGCATTGATGGACGACGACAGACAGAAAGCCGCAAGAAGGAATAGCGCAGAAGTTCGAGACATKGTAATATTAGGCTGTTTTGTCGGTTTTSGTAGATTAGGATTGTGAAGATGKCAATTCAATGGGTTATGTTAGGAAACTWTTTCCGTGTTCACTGTTTTTCAGTTTTGATGGTGAAGTTTCTCGTCAATTTCTCGATATTTGACGGTGTGATGACTTGACACGGTTGATGTGGTTCTCCTGATTTGCGAGGTTGACGGGATCAGCGCCATTCCACATCTGTCAAAGAAGTCATCGACCAATGAGAATAMCGGTACCATGGTTGATATCTTCTAGAATCATCACCTATCTGGAATTTTGATTTTGAGATTCTGCTGTCAACWCCAATGACGTGTGTTTCGTGACTGTTTTCTTTTTGGTCGAATTGGTCATTTCAGATTGAACTCGGGACTCGTTGAGGAAAGATTGTTTGCTTGAATGGATTGGATTCTATTCGCAAGTACGTACCGGTACAGCACGTCACGAGCGTGCCAACATGCTTTTAGGAGAAATCACTAGCAGATCCCTATTACTGTATTTCATGCGCAAGAACAAGCACCACACAAAATAACAATGCATTTCAACGTGACCTCCCGTATCGTTTGAGAGAGGATCAATGAAAGCCATTCCTGAGATAAAGTTCATACGGCATAACTTTATCCTTCCGGGAGATTGAGTGCRCCAAGAAATCGGCAATCACTGCAACTTACCACACATTAACTTTCCAACAGATATATTATTAGAAAACAAAATGATGCGGTGGCGTGACCATACCAACACAACAACATCGACACCCATAACATTCACCGTCCTAGTTTCTGTTGCAGTTCTCGGTTTCGCGATCATGAGTGATTCGTCCCATGCATTTGCTTCCTCTTCATCATCCTCGATTGTTGGGGTTGGACACGGTGTTGAAAGAAATCCGTGGAACTCTARACTCTACAACAGTGCCTCGGTAACCGATGCAGCCTCTACCAACAACTCTGCCGTTGACGGCGACGAAAATGTGAAGACTTCGGAAGTCCTATCGCTCGATTCGATTCGTGCCTCGTTGATTCGACAAGAAGAAACCATCATTTTCGCTTTGATCGAACGTGCGCAATTTCGACGAAACAAGGTGGTCTACGAACCGGGAGCGAGCGGCCTCGATTCGATCGTGAACAGCAACGACGAGAGTTTCCTGGAATACATGCTTACCGAAACCGAGAAACTCCACAGCGGATTGAGGCGTTACAAAAGCCCGGAGGAACAYGCCTTCTATCCAGAAAAATTGAGGAGCGATTGCTCACAATTCTTGAAACAGGATCTAGAGTACGACAGCGGATTGCTTTCGGATATTGGMGATGCGTCSAAGGTGAATTTCAACGAAATATTGCTGAAGAAGTACATCGATGAGGTTGTCCCGTCCATTTGCGCCAAGGGAGATGACGAGCAGCACGGTTCCTGCGTATTGAATGATATCGCCGTCTTGCAAGCCCTCTCGAAAAGAGTCCACTACGGAAAGTTCGTGGCCGAGAGCAAATACCTAGCCGATCCCGAGGGCTACCAAGCGCTGGTCGATGCGAACGATGCCGAAGGGGTCATGAAACTTTTGACGAACGAAGCMGTGGAACTCAAGGTTCTGAGACGTGCCAGGTTGAAGGCTGCGACCTACGGAACGGARCCGTTGCTGGCGGACCTTCCTCCCCTCTACGGAGAAGAGAAGACGACCTCCTCCATTGTTGCTGCCGCGGCGGCATCCGCCGTCGTTGCCGCTCTGGAGGCCATGTCCGACGTTGCCGAAGAGGAAGCCACGAACAAGGTGTGTCCGACCACGGTCGAGGCRATCTATCGAGACCTTATCATTCCACTGACAAAGGACATCGAAGTTGCCTACTTGTTCCGTCGGTGTGGCAGGGAACCACCCCCGGAGTTTGCACCCCACCGAATGAGCACCGACTCTCCGTAGAGACATGGTGCCGTTCTAGAATTTTTGGGAGCATGCTTGTAGTTTTTAGTACGACTTTTTATTTTAATCACTGCATGWTRCATATTGTTACTTKTTGATCCATTTCATTTTGAATGACAACGCATTCTTGTTGCTGAGCAGTAAAACTACCATTGATTTCCTCGCTCACTCCAAACAACTACAAGAATACTGGTGGTTTGTAATCYTCAACGATTTGGTAACTTCATTCTTTTTGAGAWTGAGCACRTTTAATTTTCCAACGATTTTTGTATCTGTGCCATGTTTTTTGTTGTGGTTGTTGTCGTTGATCTCCCTCAGAAGGACGAGGAATGGTGAATTAATCCATCCCACATTGCTTCTACAGTACTCCAAAAGTAAGATTGATTCTTTAGTATGTGTGGCTACACAAAAAAGAAAGAAGCATTCCAATTGCAAAAAAGCTTGTTTCTGACTTTTGGGTGGTAATACGACGGCATTCTTGGAGAGAGGAAATACGGTAGTACTATTGAGAGTACTACTAGTAGTAGATCAAGAGCAACATCAGCTACTAAAAAAAACGCTCTTTTCCCCCCTTTTCCTCCGTCCCCTGTAAAAGCAATACGTACAGTACTTGAACGTACGGTAAGGTAATTGGGGTGCGAAGYCATTCTTGATCCACAGTTCGTACGGTAGAGTGCCACAATCTTTCTCGAAATATTTTCTGTCCGCCCCGGATTCACAACACCATCAATCCTTGCCGCATCGATCGGTAGATCATGCGACCTACGGCCCGCGGCATTCTATGCACCCTRACGGTTTCGATCGCAATGACGCTGCCAACCACCACGGCGCTGTCGGCMRGTGCCCCAGGACCRCAGCCACCGCCGGTGGTGAACAAAGCACCAGCCGATGCCGCCATGGAATCCACGTACCAACGCCTAGCCGAGAGAGCCGTGGGATTGTACCGATCCGGGAAGGGGACGGGATTGGACGGACGGTKCTGGATCGGGGTGGCCGGGGGGCCCGGTGCCGGGAAAAGCACCCTCGCCGCTGCGGTGGCCGATYGCATCAATGGTTGCAAGTGGGCAGCAGGAGAGGGAGCGCAGAACAATAGCAACAGCAACAGCAAMAATGAAGAMAAYGCGAGCCCAAAGGCCGTAGCGGTTCCCATGGACGGCTACCACTACACCAGAGCCAAACTCGCAGAGATATCGCAAACGTACGAACCTTCCTACGACGACGGTTCCATGGGAATGAGTCGGAGGGGGGCTCCGTGGACCTTCGATGCCGAGGCACTGGCYCKCGACCTGGCCGAGGCGAAGCGCGCTGGTTCCGCGAGCCTCCCGGAATACGATCGMGTGCTCTCGGATCCMGTGGAAGACGCCGTGCGGGTCGAACCCTCGCACAAGATCGTCATCGTCGAGGGGAACTACCTCCTCCTGGGRTTGCTCGAGGCCGAACTCGATGGCGATGGCAGCATTGGCAGCAGGAAGCCMGTGGARGGGTCCAATCTCAGCGGAATTTGGCCGGGTGTGCGGGCCCCGTTCCCTGTCGGCCAAGAAATAGGGCGGTGGAAGAAGACGGCGGAGCTATGGGACGAAACATGGTTTGTGTCTCCCCCCGACCGTTGTAGCGACCACGACAAGAAGACCGCGGTGGAAATCCAGAGGGACCGGATCATCGAGCGGAGCCTGGARACKTGGACCGACTCSAAGACRAAGGCCTGGGGCGGTGGAACGGACCGCGAGGCCGCGGTTCGGAGGGCCGAGTTCAACGATGTCCCCAACGCAAGACTCGTAAATTGCTGCCGTACCTATGCCGATGTCGTCGTCGACAGCATCTAGAACGCCGGACCGAAACGAACAGACCACGGCAGGATTTTCGGCGCTGTGGAATCTTCGCACCGCACAAATATCATACGAACGAGCAATGCCTGCAAGCAGCGAGCCTTTGTGGGGTCGGGGCCAAAAACCGAGGACCATGTCTASGGTGGCCTTGCACACCAATTCTTAACGTAGAAATCCAACACATGAAATCACTTCGATTGACATATTGAAAGATGATACATGCATATTCCTTTCGAGACAACGCTTTATTTTGACGGTGAATTATGTCAACTATCTGTCCTTCGTCTAATTCRTAGTGCTTTAGGATCGTTGTTGCATGAATTCATTGTACTTGTCAATTGCTCCCTTTTCAAAAGACGCGACTGCAAACTGAACGATCGTATCGTTAATTGTATCAGCGGCCAACTTCAAGGCTGAGTCMGGCAACAACCGCAGGGGTGGTGGCAGCGAGCCCTTGGTTTGGAAGGAAATCGTTCCCTTGACCCCCGTGCCGTCTTCCGTGGGACGCAGGTCTCCCGCCACCTCGATGAATATGCCGAGGGATTCGGAGCTAATGAYCCCCATCCCCGGRAGAAGCCTCAGGTTGGTCTCGAACCCGACCGAGTTGAGCTTGAAAATCGGTGGGAGCTGGCGTCCTGCGCGATTTTTCCCGGCCCGTTGMGTCCACATCTGCAGATCGACGCTCGGCTGGAGTTCGAGCGTTACGAACTTTAGGGGCATGGTCTGCAAACGGTACACGCTGTCGGGCAAGACCTCCATCAGCGATTCGTCCCAAATCGAGAGTGCCAATCCTTTTCCGTCGTTGTCACTCAACCATTCCTCGATCGATTCCTTGTTGGCGTCTTTGTTTTGCGAGAGATCCGTCACGAGTTTGGTGGCGGCGCCGAATTCAATGTTTCCGCTCAGTTTGTCGACTTTGAAGTATGGCCCGTCTCTTTTCAAAAGTTCTTTGCGCCGAGCCTTTTGTTCCGGGCTCTGCTTTATTTTCGGAGCAGCGTTCAGGGAATGTTGAACCTTCCTTAYTGTTGCTGCCGTCGTCTTCGCTCTCGCCGTATGCGTTGTGCGGCCCCCCACAAAGGCATGGGCAACATTGTGACCTGCACCCAAGATTACACCCAGCCAACACACCAGCAGAGATGGGTTCATCATGCCCGCCAAGATCGACATCGTCCGCTCCCTCGTACCGGTACTGTTGTAAGTGCAAACGATTTTGAAAGGAATGACATCGAGAGGGCAATGGATCGGAAGAGCCCTAAGGTACGGTAAAGGTAATTCGTACTCACAGTGGTCGTAAGTCGCACCAAACGAGAATTTCATTCATTCAACTTGGACTTTTCCAACGTGTGAGTCATCAGTCGGATTCGAAGCCAAATCTACGGTTGACGGTGGAACGATACGATTACGGTCGATTGTGCACGACTGGAAAACGAAAGTCAGTCGTTGAATTTGAGGTACTACAGTAGTGACTACTGGAAGCGCAATTTTGCGAACTAAGGTACAAGTGTCTAAGTCAAGTCCATGAGACAACGCAAGGATGAAGGGTACGGCCATTCCTCCAGGTTAGAAACTGTTACTTGACTTAACGCAGCTACCTATTGAGAAGAGTCAACAAATTTTACACTAATGAGTGTTGCTGATACGAGTTGATGATTGTAAAAGAAGAGAAAAATGATGCGAGACACTTCTGCTTCAAGCCCAGCTGAAAAAGCTGCTGGAACAAGTTGCCCCTAGCATGAGCTACTAATGCAAATCGCTGCCGATACGAGTACCAATTCACAATGACACGGCATGAGCTGCTGCTGCTGAGAGCAACCTACTACTTCAGAGTACCATTAGTACTGGTACTTGTACCAATGCTAGTATCCATCCATACAAAGACCCTTCGATCTGATCGAAAACACCCTCGACACGCAACGATCGAAAACAATACAACTTCTGCTTCTAAGACCTTAGCTCGAACTACTTTACTTTTGCGGCACGGCACGGCACGGGGTTGCTCGCACCGTGTTATAAACCGTGCTGGCAACAAGGGGTGCTCCCCTCCGGGACGCCGTGGTGGAGGGGTTTCTTCTTCTTCTTGCTGCCGGGCGCCGCCGGTGGAGGAGGAGAGGCCTTGCCCGCCGCAAGGCCCCCGACCCGCGTCTCGCCCATCGAGCCGTAGTACTCGTACTCGTAGTTGGGGGCATGGTGCCGCTGGTGGTGTTGGTGTTGCTGCTGCTGCTGCTGCTGCTCTTGCTCCTGGTGGATGGTGTCGCAGTCAAAGTCCTGGCAGTGCGTGGATCCCTCCCGCATGGCCCGCTCCTCCCCGCCGGACGCCCCGGAGAACCGGGTGCTGATGCTGGTGCTGGCGTTGCAAAAGCTCCCGCCGCCGCTGCTGCTTCTGCCGCTGGTGCAGCTCCGGGAGTTCCCGCAGGCCGTGGTGGCGCTGCCGCTGGCGCTCCCGGCAGCCTTTGCGGCCTTGGGGGAGCCGAGCGGGGAGTCCATCTCGGAGAGGTTGACCCCGGACTCGCTCTCGTCGTCGATGCCCGAGTCGGACCCGAGGTCGTCAAAGCCGGGGAGCTCGTGGATGGGCCAGATCGCGTCCTTGGCGTTGAACATGACGTGCCCGAGGACCAGGCCCAGGATGACCGACGCAAAGAGGGMRACGGAATAGATCATAATGACCAGCATGAGGAGGTAGCCGATCGTCAGCTGGATTCCGTAAAAGACGGCCGAGACCACCAGGCGCCGCGGCCCGGCCTCCATGTACGCCATGGTCTTGCGGCGCTGCTGGATGAACTTTTCCAGGCCGACGGCCAGGARGACGGTCCCGATCACNCAGCCACCGCCGGTGGTGAACAAAGCACCAGCCGATGCCGCCATGGAATCCACGTACCAACGCCTAGCCGAGAGAGCCGTGGGATTGTACCGATCCGGGAAGGGGACGGGATTGGACGGACGGTKCTGGATCGGGGTGGCCGGGGGGCCCGGTGCCGGGAAAAGCACCCTCGCCGCTGCGGTGGCCGATYGCATCAATGGTTGCAAGTGGGCAGCAGGAGAGGGAGCGCAGAACAATAGCAACAGCAACAGCAAMAATGAAGAMAAYGCGAGCCCAAAGGCCGTAGCGGTTCCCATGGACGGCTACCACTACACCAGAGCCAAACTCGCAGAGATATCGCAAACGTACGAACCTTCCTACGACGACGGTTCCATGGGAATGAGTCGGAGGGGGGCTCCGTGGACCTTCGATGCCGAGGCACTGGCYCKCGACCTGGCCGAGGCGAAGCGCGCTGGTTCCGCGAGCCTCCCGGAATACGATCGMGTGCTCTCGGATCCMGTGGAAGACGCCGTGCGGGTCGAACCCTCGCACAAGATCGTCATCGTCGAGGGGAACTACCTCCTCCTGGGRTTGCTCGAGGCCGAACTCGATGGCGATGGCAGCATTGGCAGCAGGAAGCCMGTGGARGGGTCCAATCTCAGCGGAATTTGGCCGGGTGTGCGGGCCCCGTTCCCTGTCGGCCAAGAAATAGGGCGGTGGAAGAAGACGGCGGAGCTATGGGACGAAACATGGTTTGTGTCTCCCCCCGACCGTTGTAGCGACCACGACAAGAAGACCGCAGTGGAAATCCAGAGGGACCGGATCATCGAGCGGAGCCTGGAAACGTGGACCGACTCGAAGACGAAGGCCTGGGGCGGTGGAACGGACCGCGAGGCCGCGGTTCGGAGGGCCGAGTTCAACGATGTCCCCAACGCAAGACTCGTAAATTGCTGCCGTACCTATGCCGATGTCGTCGTCGACAGCATCTAGAACGCCGGAATGAAACGAACAGACCACTGCAGGATTTTCGGCGCCGTGGAATCTTCGCACCGCACAAATATCATACGAACGAGCAATGCCTGCAAGCAGCGAGCCTTTGTGGGGTCGGGGCCAAAAACCGAGGACCATGTCTACGGTGGCCTTGCACACCAATTCTTAACGTAGAAATCCAACACATGAAATCACTTCGATTGACATATTGAAAGATGATACATGCATATTCCTTTCGAGACAACGCTTTATTTTGACGGTGAATTATGTCAACTATCTGTCCTTCGTCTAATTCGTAGTGCTTTAGGATCGTTGTTGCATGAATTCATTGTACTTGTCAATTGCTCCCTTTTCAAAAGACGCGACTGCAAACTGAACGATCGTATCGTTAATTGTATCAGCGGCCAACTTCAAGGCTGAGTCMGGCAACAACCGCAGGGGTGGTGGCAGCGAGCCCTTGGTTTGGAAGGAAATCGTTCCCTTGACCCCCGTGCCGTCTTCCGTGGGACGCAGGTCTCCCGCCACCTCGATGAATATGCCGAGGGATTCGGAGCTAATGATCCCCATCCCCGGGAGAAGCCTCAGGTTGGTCTCGAACCCGACCGAGTTGAGCTTGAAAATCGGTGGGAGCTGGCGTCCTGCGCGATTTTTCCCGGCCCGTTGAGTCCACATCTGCAGATCGACGCTCGGCTGGAGTTCGAGCGTTACGAACTTTAGGGGCATGGTCTGCAAACGGTACACGCTGTCGGGCAAGACCTCCATCAGCGATTCGTCCCAAATCGAGAGTGCCAATCCTTTTCCGTCGTTGTCACTCAACCATTCCTCGATCGATTCCTTGTTGGCGTCTTTGTTTTGCGAGAGATCCGTCACGAGTTTGGTGGCGGCGCCGAATTCAATGTTTCCGCTCAGTTTGTCAACTTTGAAGTATGGCCCGTCTCTTTTCAAAAGTTCTTTGCGCCGAGCCTTTTGTTCCGGGCTCTGCTTTATTTTCGGAGCAGCGTTCAGGGAATGTTGAACCTTCCTTATTGTTGCTGCCGTCGTCTTCGCTCTCGCCGTATGCGTTGTGCGGCCCCCCACAAAGGCATGGGCAACATTGTGACCTGCACCCAAGATTACACCCAGCCAACACACCAGCAGAGATGGGTTCATCATGCCCGCCAAGATCGACATCGTCCGCTCCCTCGTACCGGTACTGTTGTAAGTGCAAACGATTTTGAAAGGAATGACATCGAGAGGGCAATGGATCGGAAGAGCCCTACGGTACGGTAAAGGTAAATCGTACTCACAGTGGTCGTAAGTCGCACCAAACGAGAATTTCATTCATTCAACTTGGACTTTTCCAACGTGTGAGTCATCAGTCGGATTCGAAGCCAAATCTACGGTTGACGGTGGAACGATACGATTACGGTCGATTGTGCACGACTGGAAAACGAAAGTCAGTCGTTGAATTTGAGGTACTACAGTAGTGACTAAGTACTGGAAGCGCAATTTTGCGAACAAACGTACAAGTGTCCACGTCAAGTCCATGAGACAACGCAAGGATGAACGGCACGGCCATTCCTCCAGGTTAGAAACTGTTACTTGACTTAACGAAGCTACCTATTGAGAAGAGTCTACAAATTTTACACTAATGAGTGTTGCTGATACGAGTTGATGATTGTAAAAGAAGAGAAAAATGATGCGAGACACTTCTGCTTCAAGCCCAGCTGAAAAAGCTGCTGGAACAAGTTGCCCCTAGCATGAGCTACTAATGCAAATCGCTGCCGATACGAGTACCAATTCACAATGACACGGCATGAGCTGCTGCTGCTGAGAGCAACCTACTACTTCAGAGTACCATTAGTACTGGTACTTGTACCAATGCTAGTATCCATCCATACAAAGACCCTTCGATCTSATCGAAAACACCCTCGACACGCAACGATCGAAAACAATACAACTTCTGCTTCTAAGACCTTAGCTCGAACTACTTTACTTTTGCGGCACGGCACGGCACGGGGTTGCTCGCACCGTGTTATAAACCGTGCTGGCAACAAGGGGTGCTCCCCTCCGGGACGCCGTGGTGGAGGGGTTTCTTCTTCTTCTTGCTGCCGGGCGCCGCCGGTGGAGGAGGAGAGGCCTTGCCCGCCGCAAGGCTCCCGACCCGCGTCTCGCCCATCGAGCCGTAGTACTCGTACTCGTAGTTGGGGGCATGGTGCCGCTGGTGGTGTTGGTGTTGGTGTTGGTGGTGTTGTTGTTGCTGCTGCTGCTGCTCTTGCTCCTGGTGGATGGTGTCGCAGTCAAAGTCCTGGCAGTGCGTGGATCCCTCCCGCATGGCCCGCTCCTCCCCGCCGGACGCCCCGGAGAACCGGGTGCTGATGCTGGTGCTGGCGTTGCAAAAGCTCCCGCCGCCGCTGCTGCTTCTGCCGCTGGTGCAGCTCCGGGAGTTCCCGCAGGCCGTGGTGGCGCTGCCGCTGGCGCTCCCGGCAGCCTTTGCGGCCTTGGGGGAGCCGAGCGGGGAGTCCATCTCGGAGAGGTTGACCCCGGACTCGCTCTCGTCGTCGATGCCCGAGTCGGACCCGAGGTCGTCAAAGCCGGGGAGCTCGTGGATGGGCCAGATCGCGTCCTTGGCGTTGAACATGACGTGCCCGAGGACCAGGCCCAGGATGACCGACGCAAAGAGGGMRACGGAATAGATCATAATGACCAGCATGAGGAGGTAGCCGATCGTCAGCTGGATTCCGTAAAAGACGGCCGAGACCACCAGGCGCCGCGGCCCGGCCTCCATGTACGCCATGGTCTTGCGGCGCTGCTGGATGAACTTTTCCAGGCCGACGGCCAGGARGACGGTCCCGATCACCGCCGCCGCGTACTTTCCGGCGGTGTCCAGGATCCAGCTGGGGAAGAGCCAGACGACGCAGGTGGTGGTCTGGATCCAGTGGAAGCCYTCCATGTACATGGTGGTCCCGCCGTAGCAAAAGGGCTCCTCCGTCASRGCCCCGCCTCCCGAGGTTTCGACGGGCGCYCCCGGGAGTCCGGGGACCGTCTTCTCCCAGGCCCCCTTGCAGGCCGCGTTGTGGACGCCGAGGCAGGCCTCGTGGGCCTTGGTGACGTTGTCCCCGCTCGAGGCCAGGGTGGCCTCGTCGACGCAGTAGAGGGAATAGCCGGCCTCGGCGTAGAGGCCGGCCTGGTCGACCTTGGGAATCTCCATGCAGGTCATCCAGCAAAAAAAGTTGGTGGCGTTGTTGCACATGGAGGCGTCCTGCATCGAGAGCCTCCGCCGGGAGGGGGCCAGAAGGAGGGACGACGGCGATTCGTCGTTGTCGTTGTTGTTGTCGTCTCGATCCCCCCGGGCACCGCTCTTGCCGGAAGGAAGGTGGTCCCCGCACCCCAGGGAGATCCCGGACCGCGGAAASGGCGGCGGCTCGAAGCCCTGCTTGCTCTGGTGGGACAGGCTCAGGGAGCGCTTGGTTTCCGCGAGGGTTTTCCCCCCGTAGACCAGGGAATTTTCGGGGACCAGGTTCATCATTCCGTACCAGGCCCTTCGTTGCTGCTCCTGTTGTTGGTGTTGGTGTTGTTGTTGCTTCTGCTGCTGCTGCCACCGGACCGAGTGGCTCGTGGCTTTCAGGACGGGCCCACGGTTCTGGCCAAGAGGCACCGGAAGGTCCAGCCAGTCCTGGGCCCCCTGGCCGAGCATGACCACGGCGGTCCGGCCCCCGTCGAAGCGGGCCCGGACCGGGGCTCCCCCCTCTCTGTAGTAGAAGGACCGGTCGTCGCCGTCGTCGCCGCCGCCGGTGCCCGAGCAGTCCCAGGCCGGTACAAAGACCAGAAAGAGCCCCGCGTCGGTGTGCCAGTCCCAGGCGAGGCTTCCGTCGTCGTCGTCGTCGTCGTCGTGGTTGTTGTAGCTGCTGTAGCTGCTGCTGCTAAACTGGTTGTCGCTGTCGTTGCTGTCGTCGTTGCCCCCTCCGGTGGGCTCGCGCGTGTACACGTGGAAATGCTCCAGGTGGTTGGCCGAGCGGACAATCTCCGAGACCGACCGGTAGGACTTCCCGTCCTCGGTCCGGAGGAGCGGTCGWTGGCCGTGGCCGTGGCGGCCAAAGCCKGTTCCGAGGGCCCCGTCCAGGGCTTCCGCAAAGGCCCCCGAGACGGAGGAGAGGGCGTCCCGGAGGCCCTCCATGGCACCGAGGACGTCTTGCCCGCAGGCGTCTTCCAGGCCGGCCGGGAGCGGCAGGGGGTGGTCCTTTCCGGCCGTGGCCGTGGCGACGCTGGTCCGGACGGTGGACGAGGAATCCAGGACCATGGAGTGGGTCTGGTCGAGCCCCAGAAAGCCGGGGTGGTCGACGCAGGAGCAGAGGCCGTCGAGGGCCGCCCTCCGGTCCGAAGAGTAGCTTTCTGCAACTGCAACACCGGCACCGGTCTCCCCGTCCAGGCGAACGGCCAGCAGGCCGGTCGTCGAGAGGGTCCGCCGGAACTCCTCGATTCGGGTGTGGTGGTTTCTGCTGTCGCTGTCGCCATCGCTGCCGCCTGCCCCCGCGCTCGCACCGTGTTTGGAAATCTGCCTGAGGTCTTCAAAGGTAAAGGTAGGCACGGCCTTTTCGCTCGGGTTCTCTGTCGTTGTGGCTGCTCCCGCGAGCACCAACGTTGCGGCCGAGAAAATCCAGAGGCCCGCGGCGAGGAACGCCAGGGAGGACGGTGTCTTCCCCCCGGGCCTTCGTATCGTCGCTGCCGCCCTTTCTGTCGTCGCTGTCGTTGTTCTCGTCGTTCTCGTCGTCGTCATTTTGGGTGCTGTTTGTGTGTGCGTTTGTTGTCCTTAAGGCTTTGTTCGTATTTCGTATTGTATTCGGCCKTGTAATTTGTGGCTTGATTTTGTGCACCAATCGTGCCGTAAGGATCCTGTGTTGTTTGGCGCTTTTGTTCCTTGCCCCGAATCGTTGGATTCGTTGGATTTGGAGGACTCGGCAGGATGTGGAGAGATTCGTCGAACGCGAATGTATCGGTCTTGCCTTCTGTCTTCGCTCGGGTGGATTGGGTTGGGACTTGGGATGCTATGGATATGGGTACTCGTAACGTACGGATATCGGTATCGGTACGAGTTATGCGTACTGTATCGTGTGGTGTGTTGTGATGTGCGTCAAGGATCGACGACTGCGTGGATTGATCTTTCAATCAAGATGGTTTTTGTTTCGTATCGTCGGAGCCTGTGTCGAATGGAAGGTTTCTGTTTTCTCGAGATCCGTCACGAGCGAAGCACGAGCACAAGAGAACACAAATGAGGGTTTATTGGTATTACTGTACTCGCAACTCATACCGTACCCCTCCTACGGTACTAGATGAGACACTTTGCATCGGAGAGGTTTCCTGAAACGAGGGTCTTGGCATTCTAGGGGCTTCCATGGCATGCTTCCGCCACGCGAAAGCTCCTCCGGAGTTCGGGACAGGGGCAATAGTCAACGAGCTCGCTGTCGTCGTTCATAGGAAACTACGAGTAAAGTAATCGTTGCGTTCGCACCGTCTGGTTTGCCTACCGGTACTACGATCGGGAATCGGCATCCCACCGCAGTCTACCGGTACGAGTACCCAAGTACAGTTTAACCAACTAACCTCAACCCTAATGTACAAAAGATAAGCTCGATATTCTTGGGGACGGAGCGGAATTCGCGCAAGACCTTTTCGGTGCGCGTATTGCCATACTGGTCAATCATACGGACTGTAAACCAAGATYCCAAGAACGACCGGATCGATCCTTGCTAAGCCCCACAGGGATGATACGGTACCATCGTACGCTACCTGGGTAGTATGGATACGAGCTCATGCAACCAAAAATTCGCTCGTGTCGTTTCGGGATCTGGAAGAACATCGTCGAAGCGCAGGCGTACTGGTACAAGTTCTTCTATCTACGCTACAGACCAGTACTGTACGTAATGGTGGGTAGTAATCGTAGCACCCGTACGAAGCGTACGAGAACTATGAGGATCTCTGTATGTGGCGTGGTTCGAGACTCGAGACTAGAAGCACTGCGGTACGAACGTACTTACGGCACGGTATGGGTGACACCTGCGGATCCAAAATTCCGAGCCGGATTGATTCCTTCCAAAAAATTTTCAATCGCACTGCAATCCTACCTTTCGGTCTTGCCAACAAAGCGTCGGTTGCACCTTACCCAACCCCACCCCTCCTTTCCATTTCGTTTCGGTTCCGAGCAAGCAATAAGATGAGAACCACCCCATTTTGCAAGAGACACACTCCACTCCTGGCCTTTGCCTACCTCTGCGCGGCATCGCACCCCGGTGCCCATGCCCATGCCAATGGCGTCGGCATCGTCGTCGGCGTTGCACAAAACCCACCGGTGAACTACGTCCCCGCCCGGATCTCCTTTGCGGAGCTGCTGCCCTCCGAGCACGGAACCAACGCAGGCGACGAAAACGACGTCTTCTGGAAGGCCCTCCGCGAGGTCGGGCTGGTCTCCATCACCGACGTACCGAACCTGGGCAAGCAAGCCATGATGGCCGACCTCGGGGAATGCCTCGCCACCACCGCCAGGGGCGCCGAAGGGCTCCACACCGAGGGTTTTGCCGACGTGGGAATCGACGGCTTCCACCGCCGCCGGACGCTCGCCATGCATACCCTGGCCGGATCGGGGGAAGGCCTCTTTGCGGAAAGGGACCCCTCTCCCGCCTGCGCAGCCCTTGCCGAATCGAGCCGGCCCTTTCGGGAAKGGGTCGAAAAAGTGTTGGGGGCGATCGCGGAACGGTTCGCCCTTGTGCCCAGCTCTTTGGCCGCAGCCGGCGAAGGCGACGGGGCCTTTCTCTCCGCCGACCGCCTCATCCACGAGGGGGAGCACCTGGAGCACTTTCACTCGTACTACCCGCAGCCGCAAGCGGGAAAAGGCAGCGGTTCCCAAACCAAAGACAAAGACAATGCCAATACCAAAACCATCGAGTGGCACACCGACCAGGGCATGATGCTCGTGTTTGCCCCCGGCCAGCGAACCGATGGATCGTCCACCGGTGGATTCCTCGTCCGGTTGTCGGACGGATCCACCGCGGAGCTCGACCTCGACCCGTTCGTCGACGACCTKGTGGTGATGCTGGGGGACGGCGTCCACCAATACATCAACCAGAGCGGCAACGGCAGCATCCAAGGCCTCCGCTCCGTCCCCCACGCCGTCTCGCTCGACCGAAACGATAGTGCCCAGAGGCTCTGGTACGGCCGCATGGTCCTCCCGCCCCCGGGGGCGGTCCATCCCTCTTCCGCCGCGGCGAACACCTTCGGGGAGCTCCGGGCCGCAACGATCCGGGGAGACCCCTCCGGCCTCGGCTGCTCCTCGCCGACCGCGGTGGTCTCCCGGGGCCTTGCCGGCGACGGACACGAGGACCCCGGCGAGTGCGACGAGGCGACGTCGATGTTCTGCTGGATGAGGTGCATGGACTACGAGGAGTACGGCGCGAGCCCGGAGATCTGCGGGGCCGGCAACCTTGCCTGTGCCAACGNAAGACCAGAAAGAGCCCCGCGTCGGTGTGCCAGTCCCAGGCGAGGCTTCCGTCGTCGTCGTCGTCGTCGTCGTGGTTGTTGTAGCTGCTGTAGCTGCTGCTGCTAAACTGGTTGTCGCTGTCGTTGCTGTCGTCGTTGCCCCCTCCGGTGGGCTCGCGCGTGTACACGTGGAAATGCTCCAGGTGGTTGGCCGAGCGGACAATCTCCGAGACCGACCGGTAGGACTTCCCGTCCTCGGTCCGGAGGAGCGGTCGWTGGCCGTGGCCGTGGCGGCCAAAGCCKGTTCCGAGGGCCCCGTCCAGGGCTTCCGCAAAGGCCCCCGAGACGGAGGAGAGGGCGTCCCGGAGGCCCTCCATGGCACCGAGGACGTCTTGCCCGCAGGCGTCTTCCAGGCCGGCCGGGAGCGGCAGGGGGTGGTCCTTTCCGGCCGTGGCCGTGGCGACGCTGGTCCGGACGGTGGACGAGGAATCCAGGACCATGGAGTGGGTCTGGTCGAGCCCCAGAAAGCCGGGGTGGTCGACGCAGGAGCAGAGACCGTCGAGGGCCGCCCTCCGGTCCGAAGAGTAGCTTTCTGCAACTGCAACGCCGGCACCGGTCTCCCCGTCCAGGCGAACGGCCAGCAGGCCGGTCGTCGAGAGGGTCCGCCGGAACTCCTCGATTCGGGTGTGGTGGTTTCTGCTTTCGCTGTCGCTGTCGCCTGCCCCCGCGCTCGCACCGTGTTTGGAAATCCGCCGGAGGTCTTCAAAGGTAAAGGTAGGCACGGCCTTTTCGCTCGGGTTCTCCGTCGTTGTGGCTGCTCCCGCGAGCACCAACGTTGCGGCCCAGAAAATCCAGAGGCCCGCGGCGAGGAACGCCAGGGAGGACGGTGTCTTCCCCCCGGGCCTTCGTATCGTCGCTGCCGCCCTTTCTGTCGTCGCTGTCGTTGTTCTCGTCGTTCTCGTCGTCGTCATTTTGGGTGCTGTTTGTGTGTGCGTTTGTTGTCCTTAAGGCTTTGTTCGTATTTCGTATTGTATTCGGCCKTGTAATTTGTGGCTTGATTTTGTGCACCAATCGTGCCGTAAGGATCCTGTGTTGTTTGGCGCTTTTGTTCCTTGCCCCGAATCGTTGGATTCGTTGGATTTGGAGGACTCGGCAGGATGTGGAGAGATTCGTCGAACGCGAATGTATCGGTCTTGCCTTCTGTCTTCGCTCGGGTGGATTGGGTTGGGACTTGGGATGCTATGGATATGGGTACAAGTACTCGTAACGTACGGATATCGGTATCGGTACGAGTTATGCGTACACTATCGTGTGGTGTGGTGTGGTGTGATGTGCGTCAAGGATCGACGACTGCGTGGATTGATCTTTCAATCAAGATGGTTTTTGTTTCGTATCGTCGGAGCCTGTGTCGAATGGAAGGTTTCTGTTTTCTCGAGATCCGTCACGAGCGAAGCACGAGCACAAGAGAACACAAATGAGGGTTTATTGGTATTACTGTACTCGCAACTCATACCGTACCCCTCCTACGGTACTAGATGAGACACTTTGCATCGGAGAGGTTTCCTGAAACGAGGGTCTTGGCATTCTAGGGGCTTCCATGGCATGCTTCCGCCACGCGAAAGCTCCTCCGGAGTTCGGGACAGGGGCAATAGTCAACGAGCTCGCTGTCGTCGTTCATAGGAAACTACGAGTAAAGTAATCGTTGCGTTCGCACCGTCTGGTTTGCCTACCGGTACTACGATCGGGAATCGGCATCCCACCGCAGTCTACCGGTACGAGTACCCAAGTACAGTTTAACCAACTAACCTCAACCCTAATGTACAAAAGATAAGCTCGATATTCTTGGGGACGGAGCGGAATTCGCGCAAGACCTTTTCGGTGCGCGTATTGCCATACTGGTCAATCATACGGACTGTAAACCAAGATTCCAAGAACGACCGGATCGATCCTTGCTAAGCCCCACAGGGATGATACGGTACCATCGTACGCTACCTGGGTAGTATGGATACGAGCTCATGCAACCAAAAATTCGCTCGTGTCGTTTCGGGATCTGGAAGAACATCGTCGAAGCGCAGGCGTACTGGTACAAGTTCTTCTATCTACGCTACAGACCAGTACTGTACATAATGGTGGGTAGTAATCGTAGCTCCCGTACGAAGCGTACGAGAACTATGAGGATCTCTGTATGTGGCGTGGTTCGAGACTCGAGACTAGAAGCACTGCGGTACGAACGTACTTACGGCACGGTATGGGTGACACCTGCGGATCCAAAATTCCGAGCCGGATTGATTCCTTCCAAAAAATTTTCAATCGCACTGCAATCCTACCTTTCGGTCTTGCCAACAAAGCGTCGGTTGCACCTTACCCAACCCCACCCCTCCTTTCCATTTCGTTTCGGTTCCGAGCAAGCAATAAGATGAGAACCACCCCATTTTGCAAGAGACACACTCCACTCCTGGCCTTTGCCTACCTCTGCGCGGCATCGCACCCCGGTGCCCATGCCCATGCCAATGGCGTCGGCATCGTCGTCGGCGTTGCACAAAACCCACCGGTGAACTACGTCCCCGCCCGGATCTCCTTTGCGGAGCTGCTGCCCTCCGAGCACGGAACCAACGCAGGCGACGAAAACGACGTCTTCTGGAAGGCCCTCCGCGAGGTCGGGCTGGTCTCCATCACCGACGTACCGAACCTGGGCAAGCAAGCCATGATGGCCGACCTCGGGGAATGCCTCGCCACCACCGCCAGGGGCGCCGAAGGGCTCCACACCGAGGGTTTTGCCGACGTGGGAATCGACGGCTTCCACCGCCGCCGGACGCTCGCCATGCATACCCTGGCCGGATCGGGGGAAGGCCTCTTTGCGGAAAGGGACCCCTCTCCCGCCTGCGCAGCCCTTGCCGAATCGAGCCGGCCCTTTCGGGAAKGGGTCGAAAAAGTGTTGGGGGCGATCGCGGAACGGTTCGCCCTTGTGCCCAGCTCTTTGGCCGCAGCCGGCGAAGGCGACGGGGCCTTTCTCTCCGCCGACCGCCTCATCCACGAGGGGGAGCACCTGGAGCACTTTCACTCGTACTACCCGCAGTCGCAAGCGGGAAAAGGCAGCGGTTCCCAAACCAAAGACAAAGACAAAGCCAATACCAAAACCATCGAGTGGCACACCGACCAGGGCATGATGCTCGTGTTTGCCCCCGGCCAGCGAACCGATGGATCGTCCACCGGTGGATTCCTCGTCCGGTTGTCGGACGGATCCACCGCGGAGCTCGACCTCGACCCGTTCGTCGACGACCTKGTGGTGATGCTGGGGGACGGCGTCCACCAATACATCAACCAGAGCGGCAACGGCAGCATCCAAGGCCTCCGCTCCGTCCCCCACGCCGTCTCGCTCGACCGAAACGATAGTGCCCAGAGGCTCTGGTACGGCCGCATGGTCCTCCCGCCCCCGGGGGCGGTCCATCCCTCTTCCGCCGCGGCGAACACCTTCGGGGAGCTCCGGGCCGCAACGATCCGGGGAGACCCCTCCGGCCTCGGCTGCTCCTCGCCGACCGCGGTGGTCTCCCGGGGCCTTGCCGGCGACGGACACGAGGACCCCGGCGAGTGCGACGAGGCGACGTCGATGTTCTGCTGGATGAGGTGCATGGACTACGAGGAGTACGGCGCGAGCCCGGAGATCTGCGGGGCCGGCAACCTTGCCTGTGCCAACGAGGAGTACGGCGCGAGCCCGGAGATCTGCGGGGCCGGCAACCTTGCCTGTGCCAACGCGGACGGGGAGCCCTGGGCGAAGGGCGTCCACGACCCGTCGTACAAGCTGCGGTGCCTCGGAAGCGCCGAAGCCGACACCAACGCCACCGCTTCCGCCGGAGACGAACCGGACGGCGAAACGATGGAGATGGATTCCAGCGGGGCAAAGGACCGCGGAACAACGGCTTTTGGATTCCTTGTTGCGGTGGTGGCGGCCACGGCCGGGGGANACGAGGAGTACGGCGCGAGCCCGGAGATCTGCGGGGCCGGCAACCTTGCCTGTGCCAACGCGGACGGGGAGCCCTGGGCGAAGGGCGTCCACGACCCGTCGTACAAGCTGCGGTGCCTCGGAAGCGCCGAAGCCGACACCAACGCCACCGCTTCCGCCGGAGATGACGGAGACGAACCGGAAAGCGAAACGATGGAGATGGATTCCAGCGGGGCAAAGGACCGCGGAACAACGGCTTTTGGATTCCTTGTTGCGGTGGTGGCGGCCACGGCCGGGGGATGGATCGCGTGGTAGGACCGGAACACGCGGCGTGCCTTTTCTCTGTGCCAGGAAAAGCCTTGGGAAGGGTGCGATTTGACGTGGAGGAATCTCTGCTTGGCGATGGACTTTGGTTCCGTCCCATTMGGGAACAACAACACGGCTTGCAGAATTCGTGTTCTGCWAGGCTTCCATTCRTTTGTTTCGTCGTAGATACTTAGGTATTCGTTAGARGCGAGCATCTTTCTTTTTACGAATCAACCAATTTTTCTCCCTTTCGGCAACGCAGYTGGGCAGGCACGGTGCCATTGTTTGGTTCTCGTTTTTCTTTCTACGAGTCTTCACGATTCTGCACATTACGCGCAYGCGCTTTTAATTACAACCACGCACGCCATTACAATATTGTTTAGATAGTCTARATCATTCGAAGCATATGTTTAGCTCTGAAGCCCTGTCTCGAAGCTCCGATCTTTCTATCATCATTCTATCCATAATCTACCGTGCATTGAATATCATGTTTGAATCTCGAAAAGAAATCTYCATGGAATCTCGTCGTACCWTGGCAATAGATGCATCCGTGACAAACTAAACGCAGGTAAATCTCATTGTCGTCGTTGGCAGATCGCAACACAGCACCAATTCTTTTCGCCGACAAAAGCAATACAATTGCGGTGCTGTTCCTTTTACAGCCMTGTGGACCATTCTATTCGTCTCCCTCTCCCGACATCCCTGGAGACGAGGAATTCAGTTTCGCAAACACCCGGGCGTGAACGGTCCGCGCGGTTTGTTCGGTCATTGCCTGCGTGGCCCTGGAACGAAGGCTGCGGACCAGGGGCTCGACCGAGGAAGCCGAACCAAGGGGAACGACGGAAGATTCGCCACGCAGCGATGCCATCGAGCCACCCCCGCCCAAGCCAGCGGACATTCCAAAGCCAGCGCCTTGGTTGCCGCTGCCGTTGGCAATCGTCACGGAYGAGGCGCTCTTGGCAATCTCCCTGAGCGCACCCACCATGGCGGATTGCGATCCGCCGGCKCCCCCCTCGGCACCGGACGCGACTCCGTCCTCGGCGTTTTCCCGCCGAAAGGATTTCATCCACAAATAGTTTTGTGTGAGATCCCCMAGAATCGAGCGACTGGCGGCACTCATGTAGTATTCGACTCCTAGTTCGTAGTAACGATTCCAGCAGGACCCCCAGCGTTCCAACCGCAGCTTTTCACTCTCAACAATGGAACCATCGGGGCACTCGTTGGGAGTCGGACTCTGATATTCAGGGGGGAAGGCTCGGAATGCCTTAAGCTGGGGCGTCCCCAGGTGCATGGAACGCAACGGATCGATTACCACAGCGCAGAACGGATTCCCGTGTGGATCTTCTGCCCGCTGCCACTGAAGCTGCGTCGAAAGATCCGTCTGGGACAAGAAACAATGGGACCGTGAGTCTTCTCCCAAGATCAGATCGAAAGGATGGGAATGATACCAACCCATAAATTTCTCCCTGCGGGTCCTTTCCAGGCATTCTCCCAATGAAATCATGTGGTTTACAACGTTTTCATCGTCGGCAACGACCCGTGTTTCGAATCCTTCGATGGGTAAAGGAAAAGCATCGGTGACAATCAGATTTGTGGGTTTGTGTGGATCTGGGCGGCCGAGCATGAGTCCCATGACTGATGAAAGCGAGCATTCAAGAGAACAATGGCAGTTGTGAATGTGATACCGCAATAAAATCAAATCAAATTATGTGAGAATTATAATAAGAACAACAATTAGGATTTGGAAGCACCGGCAAAAGATGTTACAAAACACCGCTTCGCGACGTGGCTCGTTTTATTTTACAATTTCCGGAACTRCCAGTCCATCCCATCGCACCCAAGGTTTCTTCAACTTGACAGACAAAGACACCTACCCTCGATTGGATTCCCTCCCTGAGCAATGCCCTTCTCCACACCGGACTGGCAGTGCATCATCATTTTCGTTACGGCGCTGGGACTAAGGGAAACGCTCTCAAAGAACTTGGCCAGTGGTCGCTTGGAGGCCGTCCCGCTTTCGGTGCTTTGCTGGGCCCCTCTCGCTTGCTGTTCCTGTTGTCCAGAAGTACCCACCCAGGGCTTTTCCTCCCTTAGTTTTTTTAGCTTGGAAGAATCCACGGCATAAAAGCGTTCGTCCGCCGTCACGACTGTGGGAGCCTTCTCTTCCTTTGCCTTTGATTTTTTATTTTCGTTCTCCTTATCGGTGGCAGCGTTGCTCTTCTCGTTGGGTTTGGAAGGTGCACCGGCGTCGGCGGCGCCATCAGAAGCGCTTGCGGTTTCCGACAACGAAAGTGGATCGGGTGAAATCAATGCAGTGGCGATGGATGCATCAACGAGGGATGGCATATTGCAGAGTTCGTGATTCTGGTCCGTTGGTTGCTGCTTCGGAAGTTTGATTCTTCTTCTGATGGAATGATCGTGGATTGCTTTCTGGTTTGTCGAATGATTGTCTTGTAATTTGATGTTGTTTCTTGTTTCGACAGATCACTTTAAATCGAGGAGACAACAGAGAATTCTACCACAAAGTGTTAAAAGATCACGAAGACAGAATTAGCCTTTCTTCGAAATGAACACTGGTTTCCTATTTATTGAGCATTCTGTTCATACTTGCATKAGTACTCGTACCGTTCGTACAGGCAGGCGCTGATAGTTCTGGCTGAGAATGTTTTTGGTGTGGTTGCGAATGTTAGTAGGCTATCCAATTGGTCTGATGTGATGGTTGATGAGTTTGAGGCACGTCTCTTTGTTGCTCAYAACCTGCGAATGTTAGTAGGCTCCCATACTGTGTAAATACGYGGTTTACAATAGAGGAGTGAGGTTATTCACTAGCTACTCGGGATTTAGCCTCAGTGGTGGATAGCTTGGGGATGTGGTGGTTGTGTYAGGAAAGATCATCTACCGTGGCAACACCGCTTCACCTCTGTAGATCCTAGCTAACAACCAGGCTCTGTTCGTAGTAAAAAAAAAAAAAAAAAACTTAATATTATGTTTAACCTCGTGAACTAGAAGAGGCACTACTAGGAAGGCCAGAGCCATTGCTTTCGTGAGAAGGAATGCGTCTAGCTGCTCCGAGGGGCGGCGCATCCCTCCGAGGAGGTTTTGTGGAGGCGCGACCAAAGGCTCTGTTCGTAGTAGTACTACTAGTACTAGTAGATACTACTAGAAGTGTCGCTACTGGTGATTATTCCATACCAAACAACCTTTTGTAGAAGTGCCTTGTATCCTGTGTGGCKTCCATGTTCTGTTACATTTGAAAAGGATCACAATAATCACATTCAAGAACTTAATTCTTAGTACAAAATTCAGTGAGTTTCAGTTTTTCACCTTTTTTGAATGCTATTATAAATGGGAGTGCTGGGCCAATTCCTAATCAAAAACTAAGAATATCAATGCATAATGCTACTTAATGTGGACTACAAGAGGGGAAAACAACAGGATATTGGTTTCTCTCAGAGTCACACTAGTAGTAAATACTGGCCACGGAATTAAAAAGGAAATGCAACGTCTAGATTACTCGATGAATCCCTTGAAGCAAAAGAAGAAAGTAGTAGCAGTTACTATTTTTATTTTCGAAGGGATGCGACCAGCGACTGCAGGTGTGTGCAAAAGAGTTCTGTTTCCACTTCTTTCGTTGCTTCGTCTGGACTCTTGCTACCACCGCTCGCCTGGATTGTCAATTGCGCCAAAGACCGAATGTCGGCCCTTGTTCCATCGGGAATGTGACCGTCGTCTCCAACTACGASGGCGGCAAAGCAGCACTGACGTTGGCTGCTGCTCCCWGTCAGGAGTTCCACCAGGTCTTTGTACTTGGATTGTTTTTTCATTCGAACCTTGTTGGGATCCGATGCCACAGCTACCTCGACCACCACAAGGCATTCCTYTATGTCGGTGCTAGCGCCCGCGTTCACGACCATGCACATCAGGTCTGGAGCCCTGGATTTCTTTTTGAGCTTCTGGCTCGACTCGCCTAGAACCCGCGTCAGGAGGTCATTTTTGTATAGGGGCTTGTCGAGAACGACGCTGGTGGCCCCCCGACCGACCAACCAGTCCGTTATGGCATTGAGCACCATATTGTGCCGGCGACGCAAACCGTAGGAGGTCCTCGAATTATTCCTTCGGCGCTGGACGCTGGAAGAGACACCAGAAGGCAATGATGTTTTGATTCGTCGCTCTTTGAGACCTTCTTGCGAAGTTTKATCGCCTTTTGYACGTGAGTTACTGTCCCCTTTATCGCCACCATTGCTTTGACTGTTACTTGAGTTTTCCAGGACCGAGGTAGTCTCATTATSAGATCGGTCAGCTTCCCCAAGCACATTGGCATCGGAAACAGCTTCGGAAGTAGGCATGGTCATTGTACTCCCCACATTCCCTCCATCATCATTATCACCGTTGCCGATGGGTTCTATTGATTTCCCGGACGCAGAAAACAGAGCTCCAACGGGAAGATGATCAGACGGGAATCCCTCTTCTGCRTTTGGTAATCCAGCCCGAATGATTTCCAACCGTTCCTCGTCACCATTCTCGGCATCTACCGTGGCCAAAACCGACTTTATCTTTATTCTCGCCCTTGGATCCGGAGCATACCGTGCGGCAAATGCCACTGCTTCGTTTCCACCCCCGCCGCGGGATTCACCCTTTTTTCGCCGCTTGGTGCGCTTTGATTGGCTCTGCTGCAGCAGTGATGCGGAGAGGGTATCCGCCGTCGACACCCTTGAGGTTTTGGCAGCCACTCGAGAGGGATTCTTTCTAGTGTTACGGATCTTTGGYGGATAAAGATTGTGTTTTTGTTTGGAGCCCGTTGCATAAAATAAATGGTCCATGATGCCCGGTCCCCTCCCCTTCAGYGACACCGTCACGGGTGCGTATAAATCGCGGAAGCTGCMGTTCTTGAATCGGGTATCTTGGTTGTTGGGGTGGTCTCCGTGATCRTACGAATCAAGGAAGCGATAGGGATGGCTCATGTCGGTCGCCGATGCCTTCGTGATTTTGGCCTTGTAGTTTCGATCGCGAACATTTCCGTAATTTGTATATCCATGGGTGAGTAATCGTGCAGCAACAGAATTCTGATCGCTGTTAAAGTCACCTGCCACGATCATCAGTCCGTCGATCGTGTTGTGGATGTTTGCATTGCTGGCGTTTTTGGTGACGCGATCCTTCTGCATCTCGGACTCGATGCCAGACAATTTTTGTATCGTACGGGACATGGTCTTGAGTCTCCCGAGTACGTTGGACGGTCGGGCGGGTAGGTGAAGATTGGCAAGCGCGAAGGATGGRCGGTACGTTTCGCTSTTGTCGTCTTGGTCTGCATTGTTGTCTCTTGCTTCTAATCGACACACCATACCACGTCTGTAGCCCTGCCAATTCACCAAGGAATGTTTTTGCGACCTCCAGGCGATRCACAATCCCACCACATCCCCGCGTTTGTTCCCAGGATTGAGAGGTGACCAAACAAATGAGTCGTATCCGTCCAGAACAATGAGGTTGCCATCGCCCGAGCGTTCTAGAACGGTTGGTTCTGCCAACCATTCTCGGATGTCGTCCCTCAGCGTAAATTCTCCCGTCCCACCAGCGGAAGCTTCCCCCAACTTCCCTCCTTCAATTTCTTGAAGACATAAGACATCGGCGTTTGTTCGCTTGGCCATGTTCAAGGCCATGGGCACGCGTTGTGTGCGATCGTGATCCAGGAATTCCCATCGCTCGTAATCGGTCGTCGTTTTTTGATTCAATTGCAGGGAGTTGTAAAAGGGTGCCAGCAGATTCATTGAGACGATGCTGACCTCAGCCCCTTTTCCAGCAGTGTTTTGAAACGCCTTGTTTGGAGGCACAATCCTAAGGGGGTTCTTCTGCGGATACTCTTCAGATCGAGCTGTGGGTTCAGTAGAATCCGTAGGTGACGACAATGTGGCGGCGGTGTCTAACATTTCTTCCGCGAAACTTGGAGAGACAGCGGATAATGATTGAACGCAAGATTTTGCAGTATATTTGGTTGTGCCACAGGGATCGTCTTGTTGTCGCTGTCGCCGTCGCTGTCGCCGCCGTTGTCGTTGCTGCTGTGGGCTCTCAAAAACAATTTGAGCCGCTGTAAATGCTGAGCAAGTTGGTAAACTTTTTACGAACCAAGTAGTGCCAATGATAGAGATTGCGAGCATCATCCATATTGACCAGAACATCACCGTATTTGATTTCGAAGACAAAAACATTTTGAATTGTTTTTATGCAGGTCTTCCTCTTTTCACCCAACGCGCGTTGCGTTCTTCGGGAATTTATGTTGGTTCGTCTCGTCTTGTCTTCTTCACTCAAAGTAGGGAAACCTCCTCCATTTCAATCTCACTTCAAATTAGTTCAGGTTGGAGTGTTCTTTTCTTTAACAGTTCTTCTTRTGGTATGMRGTATGTCCAGTCCGCTTTCTCTTACTTCTTTGGACTCCCATTCACCTGCTCGACAGAATTTTTGAATTTTGATGGAGGATACTGAAAATTGATCGTTGATAAATTTTATGGCTGATGGGTGCTCGTTCGTACTCCTATGAACTACGCCGTTCTTGGCAAGACTGCGTACGTTCTCCTACCGAACTCGGACTTTCAGATTAGAAACGACGAGAAAGGTGTGGCGCTCCCTCCGTAGTTCGTAGACGTACGAACCATACGATACTGTATGTAGTGTACGACGTACGACAGCATCGAAACCACTCGACCACGCATGAGAAATTTCCAAAAATTCTTTCTCGTCAAGCAAGAGCGTGAACCGAACAATCCTCGAATACGATACAAAYGGGCGCACGTATACTCAATGATACTCTGTTCCGTATCATTTCCTTCTATTGATTCTAATCATTGCCAAACATCGCTGTTTCTATGATGTTGCAACCAACCAACACGTGTAGACGAGCACTGCTCGGGATGGCTCAAGAGCGGCGGAAGCAAATAAAATCACAGATGCAAGTACAATTCCAGAGACAAGGACAACGGACGAAACATACAAGATGCTCCTCGACATCGCTCTTTTCATCTTCGAGAATATCATTGCAATCMGCAACGACRCAGTGTGAATATCGTCCTATTCGATCAACAATGGTGGGGGTAGTGGCAAGAACCACACAGCGGCGATGGAAATCTCTGGCACAGCAAGTTTCCAGCACGAACCAAAGACGAGACAAACCCCTGGCCAACGTCCAGAAGCAACTCTGGGAATTTTATTTTTCTACAGGCCGTGGAGCCAGTGCCATCTTTGAGGTCATTGACCTAAAGGAGAAAGGTGCTCTGGAACCCAAACAAGTCAAGGAATTTATCACCGAGGTCCTGAAATATCAAGAAAACGGAAAGACGGTCCAAGTTGACCCACGCGACATAATGCCCTACGCTTGGAACATTTTGGAAAAACGAGAGCAGGATGGCCAAACATACGACATACGAGACTTTAAGAAATTTCTTGTTGCTGCCACCAAAATGTCTGCCGATACTAAAAACTCTCGGCTGATGGAATACCTGTCGAACAATCCAAACGTTGGAGAAAACTCGTACCTTTCGGATGCTGAGGAAGAGGATCCCGTATTTACCTGGAACGAAGAATCGATGTCCCAGTCCCTCCGGCGTATGCAGTATGCCGTCCGGGGAGAAGTTGTCATGAAGGCCGATCAACTGGCTTCGCAGGGCAAAGAAATTCTATACACGAACATCGGGAATCCACATCAGGTTGGCCAATCGCCCATCACTTACTTTCGGCAGGTTCTGGCACTCTGCGATTTGCCCGCCGACTGCGGGGTAGACCACCCCAAGGTTTACGAAATGTTCCCAAGAGACGTGGTGGAGCGAGCCCGGGAGTATAGAGATATCATTGGTCCTTCGGGAACGGGAGCTTACTCACATTCTCAAGGTAGGATTTTTGAGGGAAAAAATTCGTTGCGTTGGTAGATATCATGCATAGATTGGTTGCTTTTGTGCGTCCTTCGTTTTGAGTTGGATCGATTCATTGCACTCATTTCCTTTGTATTGTGCGGTTGCACACAGGCATCCTGGGACTTCGCAAACACATTGCAGAATACATTCAGAAGCGTGACGGATACAAATCTTTTCCCGGGAATATATTTTTGACAAACGGTGCGTCGACTGCGATTTCGATGGTATTACAGGGATTGCTGGCCTCGAATCGTGATGCGGTCATGATTCCAATTCCACAATACCCAATTTACTCTGCGCTCATTAGCAAGCTAGGAGGACGGCAGGTTGGATACGATTTGGACGAGGGCATGAACTGGGCCGTAAGTCGGGAGGAACTTGAAAAGAAACTCGAGAAAGCGAAGACCAAGGGACTCGAGGTTAAGGCCCTCGCAATGATAAATCCTGGAAATCCGTCTGGCAACGTCATGACGCACTGCGATATTCAGACACTTACTGAGTTTTGTAACACTCATGGGATCGTCCTCTTGGCCGACGAGGTCTACCAAACGAACGTCTACGCAGAACATGCGGAATTTGTAAGTGCAAAAAAGGTCGCCATGGATTGCAATCTAAAAAATCTACAGCTGGTGAGTTTCCATTCAACATCCAAGGGACTGATCGGCGAGTGCGGACGCCGGGGTGGCTACATGGAACTCCACCATATCGACCCGTACGTTCAATCGCAGCTGTACAAGTTGGCCTCTGCCGACCTTTGCTCGGGGGTCGTCGGCCAACTGATGACGAGTTTGATGGTCCGACCACCCGAACCGGGGAGCGAAAGCTATGAACTGTACCAACAAGAAACCAATGCCATTTATAACGGCTTGAAGGAGCGTGCGGATAAGCTAGTCACTGGTTTGAACAAGATCCCGGGGATATCCTGTGTTCCAGCGGAGGGAGCCATGTACGCCTTTCCCTCTGTAGAGGTTCCGCCCAAGTGTTTAGAAGCCGCAAAGGAACTCGGAACTACACCTGACAATCTCTATGCACTCAGCTTGTTGGAAATGACAGGCATTTGCGTTGTTCCAGCCTCCGGATTCGGTCAAAAGAAGGGACGAGTGGGATTCCGAACTACATTTTTGCACCCCGACACGGTGAAGGCAATTGATCTCTTTGCGCAGCACCATGAAAAGTTCACTAAGGAATATTCATAGCTATACTGGAGTAAAAATAACCTTGTGGTGTTACCTTAGAGAAACTTGTATCCTTGTGCATTCCCATTCTACGTAAAAAGGTTGGGTGGTGATAAACCGGACTGAAATAATTTGACTGAGAAAACAAATGTTCCTAAGAGGAGTTGATAGTAATATGTTCGTTTATCATGCTTGCCTGGATTTTCTTATTCGTGAATATATTTTATTGAAACAAACCACCAACGTCACCAATGGCAGCCGAAAAACTCAGCCATAGCAGGAACAAGACGGCAACAGATGTTACCTTCTCTTGCAATTTTTGATCCACCTTCTTTCCAGTAATCGCTTCCGCCACCACGAAAACCAGCTGCCCCCCATCCAATGCCGGCAGAGGGAGGGCATTGATGACACCAAGGTTGACTGATAGCCCTGCGGCAAATAGCAAAACTGCCGTCCAGTCCTTAGTCGCAACCACATTTGATCCCTGCGAAATGAGACCAATGGGTCCCGATATCTTTTGACCAGGTGGTGGTCCGCTCGGCGACAGAGACGAGGTCAGGACAGAGAGTGTTCCGAGGAGTGTCTGCGTGAAAATATCAGAGAGATATCCCCAGGCCAATTGAAATGCCACTATAGGGTTGTCGCTCTTCAATCGTTCCAATCGTTCGATTCTGGGACTGAGCATGACTCCGATCGATTGCACATTGCTCCCATCGGCAGTTGAGGGTTTGATGCGAACCGTTGTTGTTGTTTTTGATGTTTTTGTTTCCGTTGTTGTCTGCTTTGTGGCGACTGCATCCAAGGATGACGCTTCTGTTGTAGCCACTGGCTTCGTTGCTCCTCTCAACACGYTGATACTCACACTTTCACCTTCGGGTGTTGCTCGAATCGCGGAAATGACATCCGTGACCTGTTGCTGCCCCGCCGCGACGGAGGTCTTTTTAGAACCAAGAACTTGTACAGGTCGACCTAATACATGATAACATGAATGGATTCAAGAAAAAATGGAACGAAAAATATGGTATGAACCGAGTGAGATTGACCCATATGAACACAACGCAACAGAGTATTTCCAACTAAGAAACTGACAACAGGGTCACCCACCATTGATTTCCGTAATAACATCCCCACGCTGGAGCAAACCACTCGATGGACCATCGGACCTAGGAACCTGGGAAACTACGACGCCATTGTCGAAGATAGCACGGGGCAATCCTTCGCTGCTCCCGACGGGCAGGGGTCCAATCGCTGCAAAATAAATGCTCAGGGCCAGGATAAGGTTGAAGATCACACCACCACTAAGAACAACAGCTCGTTCCTGCCAGGGTCGGTTCTGTAGAAGTTGCGGGTCCTCAAAATATTCGACCTCAAATTCTTCAAGCTCGTCCAGGTCTTCATAGATTTTGTCAATGTCAACTAGTTCACCGTCTTCCTTGCTATTGTTATTCTCTCCACCATTGGTTTTGGCAGCAACATTTGAAGCACCAAACAAACCTGCCCAAAAGGGTTTTGTCGAAGCTACTTTATTTTCGCGTTCGATCCTCTTTTCGATGCGCGCCTCCTCGAATTTCTTCTCTCCCCAGTACCCCAGCGAGGCTGCATCCAATGCTTCGTCCTTCCAGTTCCAATTGTTTCCGTCCTCTGGATTTCGTTTTTCYTCCCGGCGCAGCGTTCGCTTGGCCTTGCGCTTGAGCTCCTCGTTCTCGAAAACCGCCTCCGAATCGTAGTTCTCCGGAAATCGGACAAAGCCACCCAACGGCAACGCTCGCAGATTGAATTCATTCCCAAGGGCCTCGAATCCGGCCAGCTTGGGACCGAATCCGATGGAAAATTCTTCGACCGTTATGTTAAATGCACGAGCTGCTAGGTAATGGCCACTCTCGTGGACCACAACAATTCCTGCCAGCACTGCAAGTGCACCCAAAGGGGACGACGAGAGGGCATTCAGTTGTGTAGCAGTCGAACCAGGAGTTGTCCGCCCGAATGTTCTCGAATAGGCATCGTTAGATTTCTTCGAGAGAGTAGTTTTCGCTGGCATTTTTTGCCTCGAAAGCGTCGACGGGTCGACGACACGCCGTTGAAGACGAARCTGTTGGTTCGGTTGCTGTTGCTGGAATCCAGCAACAATGCTAACGATCGATGCCGTTAGATAGCACGGAACAAGATACTTCACAGACCGCATAGTGTAATGCTATTYGCTGCCTTTTGGTGTTTTCGCTTCAGTTCAATGGTATCGAGTTTCGAAACGGAATGGGAATGTTTTCCGATGCCGCTATATTCGTCTGGTTGATTTAATGCTCAGTATACGGAAGCAGCTACGGATAACGACAATGCAGGGGATGGTTCAACACTTTGATACTAATGATATCCATCGTTCGACTGCGAAGTCGTTGTGAAGTCGTCAGCATCTCATCGTGATTCATTCATTCATTCATTTCCAAATTCCAACGAAGGATCATTCTGAAAAAGAAAAGTTCTACTTACATACGTATTATGGTCTTGCCGTCACTTCTAATMATCTTTTTAATCGAACGAGTCAGTCCCATCTGTACAACGTAATAGAGCAGRGGTCATAAATTTAGGATTAGGACCCCTGATAGAGAGTACGTACTGTAGCATACTACCTATGCTTAGTACTTTTCCAAGTCCTGTCCTTTCGAAAGAGCTTTAAGTTTCGAATTGTTGAACTAATACTACTGATGTTCTTCCGTCCATCACAAGGGAGTAACTACTGGAAAGGTCCAAACAGGAGCATATCATTCTCGAAGTTCGCCAGTGAAATCGGATGGTAGTAGACGCTTCATCCCTTGTGCACACAAGATCTTCAGATTAGATTTTCATCTTCTGTTGGACAGCCCGTCTTCAGCAGCGGCGTTTACATAAAGGTTCATGAAAAGCGTTTTGAACCAGGGCGTATGGATTACATGGAGATATTGCTCGTTTGTGCCCTCTACCACTAATATTCTGGTTAGATTGAACAATAACAAAAAACTTTTGGGTTTTGAACCGTCCAATGAAGCGACGTGAATTAAGCAACGGTCAACGTATCGTAAGAGTTTTACAAAAATATTGACATTTTACAGACTTTCAGAACTGCAGAGATGTTGCTTTACCCAAAGGCTCATCCAATTCAATCCCATATTATTTTTTTCATTTCTATTCTTTTCACGCTCCCTCTCYTTGTCTTCTTATTTGCACACTCAGTCCTAATTTTCGTTTTCCCTTTTCCGAAAACCCCGACCCATCCATCAATTAGATTACAAGCTACTGACACCATTTTGTATCGTTGCTGTCGCTTCGACAATTATTTAGAAAAGAAGCGCCTCCATTCCTCCAACCGTTTCGCATCATATTCTAATACTTCGATCTTCTGTCCGACTTCTACCATGTTGGAAGGCATCGTTTTGGAAACTGGAATCATGTGCATCCCAAAATTCCGCTGACCATTTTTCCKTTCCCGAAAGGTTGAGAGAGTCGCGAGAGGTTCCGGGCCACGCTCGAGTGTCATGCGGTCGATGGTGGTCATGGTGCATCGCCCACATCGCTGCCACACTTGAAATTCGACGCATCCAATTCGGATCAGCTTCCACGAATCTTCCTCCCACGGCAGTGTTCCCTCGACGACTATGTTGGGACGAAACCGTTGCATATCCACCTCAGGCTTGCCCCTGGCCTTCAATCGCGAATTCAAATCTTCAAGGCTCGCACTGGTCGTCAGCAGAAAGGGTGCCTCGTCGGCCAAAGAAACAATCGGGATRTTTTGGTGCTCCTCTCCGATATCCTTGATTGGGACGGGTTCGCCCTGGTTGGGGTTCATTTCGACGATGCGATTATACTCTGGCCCAACGGCCGTCAGTCGGCAGTCTCGGATTTGGGTGGCCTTTGAAAGCCACATGGCTACTTCGTTCCCCAGATCTTGCAATMGGACAACGGGACCAACAATCGGTGTTGCCTCTCTTGTAGCTGAGTTTTCAATCGCATCGTTCAGGTGCTCAATTCGAAAAGATGGTAAGCCGCTGCTCCTGCAGGTTAAATCGAGATGGATGCTCGATCCTTCATAGACAATAGAAGGATTGACATGGAATAATCGAGCGTTGGCCTTGTCCCGGGGCGTTAGATAATGTCCCTTCGAGTCGCTGACCTGAGCAAATCTGTCGTAGGAGAATCCAGTGTCCGTAACCCTTGATGCTTTAACGGACATTGGACCACAGGACTTGATAGGATAGATATTGATCTCCTTTACCCTAGTTTCTTTCTGTTTTCGATTGCGCCTCAAGAACCCAAACCCTACCGCCTCAATAACAACGGCAATMAGTGTCATCGCGAGGGCAAACGAATACACTGAGTTGCCACTAGTGACAATGCTGTCGTCACTCATGCTCCGATATCAGTTGAAGGTAATTGTGGATCAAACTTTTAGCACGGTTGTGAGAATGTTCAATACCAACGGGTAGCCCAACTCAGTACKMGTACTCGTACTTGTGCTTCTGCAGGTGCAATTCGGTGCGACGACAACCGAAGAATTCATTAATCTTGATGGTGATATCGTACCGTACCAAAGTAGAAGTAGTAATGAGTTTCGCTGGTACGGGTTAGGACACTAATAGTACTTGTAATTCCAAGCTGATGCTGCACAGAATGAATCTTTTATCAGATCCAAAAAATACAGAGGTATCTTTCGATGAAAAACGTAATCGTACGGTATCGTACTTTACCGTACGGTACGTAAATTAGGACTATGTACTGTTTGTAACGGTGGTACCTGGTACCGTAGAGTAATTTTCTTCACGTGCCATACGTACGGTATGTACGATGGAGTGATACGCTAGGTACKGTACGTAACCAGGTTAAAAACATTCTGTAGGTACCGGTAACGGTAGGCGCCAACGAAGTTAGTCCTCGTGTGGTGGTCCATTCTTGACATGCAGTCACATCAAATGAAGGATKGTCATCCATGGTGTTTGTACCGGTTTGTAGGGGTTAGGTACGTACTACGTATTGCACTACACGTACGGCTGCGCACCATACGACTACGAGCCAAAAATTCGTAATCTAGGCTCTAGTCGATAGCACCGCTTCAGTGCCATTCATTTGAAGTCAGAGTACGAGTACGGACCTATCACTCGTACAATCCTACCGTAGTTCGTACGCAACCGGTAGTCGTATCTGTCTGTTTCCATAATGAATGGTGCCAATGCGCGTCCACAAGCTGGTGGTGCGCAATGCTCCCAGAYCCCTTTCGTCCAACAGTTTGACGCCAAAAGCACAACATATTTATGATGGTCCAAAGGGGTACAATCTACTCTACGAAGTACTCGTATCCGTAGTACTTAGTTCGAAACCTTACCGAGCGGCTTCGTACGAGTACCGGTAGGGGGAGTGAAAATTTCTTCTCAACTCAGATCATCACTTGCGGTTTTATCACCCATCAAACCTCTTGTTGTCCGACATTATTATTGCAGCCCATCCCTCTCGCCAACTAGTTTTGTCTTAGTCATCAAACTCCCTTCCATACATCATGCGTAACTCCAACGATAACAATAAACACAATGGCAACTCCCATTCTACTTCGACTTTGGAAGATCGGCATTTTCTTTCGGATCCACGCCCGGTACGAGATCTCAAGCTGCCGACATGGGAAGTTGATATACACCGCGAGGGAGTTGACATGCCGATCATGACGCTCAGGGTCGACTCGACAGTGCTGCCTCCGCGAAAGAATAAAAAGAAAAAGGTCCTGTGGAAACTCCCCGACAACATCGACACCGCCCCAAAATTTGGGGAGCAGGACAAGCGCCGGGTCCTGGAATTGTTCCGAGAAAAGAAGAAAGAGCTCAAAAAGCTCAAAAACAAACAGCGAGCCTATCGAAGAGCTTCATCCATGGAGTCAATGAATAGCAGTGGGGCCGGATCAATAGATTTGAGCACTCATGCGGGAGGCGGTGGTAAAGACGATTTAAATTCGAATGCGGAGGGTCTTCCTCCCGAAGCGAATGGAAAGGACAAGCAACACGAAAATCAAAAACAATGTCAGCCGACTGGAACGAATGAAAAGAACAACGGAAATAATTCCAACCCAGATGTTGCAATTGTTGCCAGTGACGGTTTGAATCCTTCGTCGTCAAAAACTATCGAGGAAAGGGGCGGCAGAAGGGGTGCTCTAAGTCCACCCGGATTTGGGAATCCGCCGCCTAGGACGTCGCCACTGAAACTGGCCCCGCCAGGTTTGCCATCTAAAAACAACGAACACTTGGCAGAGAATAATTGCAAAGCGGCAAATGGGCACTCATCATCGCTATCACCGGCAACGTCAAACTCGACATCTTCACAGCCGCCCCTTCCTTCTCAAAATGGACACCATCCTCAACAACATTTGCACCACGGTGCACAGCATTCTCTTACACCACCACCACCACCACCACCAGGATTGCAGAATATTCACGATCTCAACCAGGACAGTATCAGGGCTCCAAAAGCTATCCCACCGCAACAACCACCGATGGCTATCGGGCCGTGCTTCGTTCTTCCACCCAACGCTCCACCAGGAATGTCCATTGGAAAATTTGTAACCGAAACATACTATTTGTCGCTCCGKAACGGCTTGGTTCGAGAACTCGATGCGTATTATTATCAGAATGGTGGTGAAAGGAGTGGTGCTGACGTAGCGAAAGTWTGTAAGGCGGTGACGGTGGGGGGTGCCCATGCCTTTTGCACAAACCAGCAAGATCGCTTGATGCAGCTCAATACCTTTTCCGGAACCGAGATGCGCATCAAAGGAGTCCAGGAACAACTGACGGTAGGGAATGGCGTCCTTGTTCTCATTACTGGTGTGAGCATCCGCTTCAGTGCTCCAAATGGATCGTCACCACAGCAATTACCCTTTTGTCACACGCTGATTCTAGCTCCCGTATCAACAAGAACACCAACAGCCGATTCCTCCACCATCGGATATCAGATACTAAACGACAATCTCGTGATTTTGACGGCAGACGAATAAATCATAAAGCAGGGACAATCTCTCGTACTCTTTTTGTTCCATGAGTACATTCGCAACAAGTCATCAATTCCTCTCTTTTTTTCTCAATCATTCTGTTGTCACTGATCCCACTCATTGCTCGAGGAAAGAAAAAACGAATCATCATGGTCGGAATCAAGAACGAGTCACTTGTTTCTCGTACATGGAGGTCTATGTTGGAAGATTGATATATTATTGGAACATGCTCTCACCTTTCTTGCGAGAAACAGAGATGAACGGGTCAGTCTTAGTATCCATACAAATTGAGAAGCGCTATGCCCCGCCGAAAGGCGATGCTTATGTGAGGTTGGAAGTCTCTGTAACCAGAAGTGATAAGACGATCATATCTGACAACGAGGGAGTCATAATGTGCGTTGGCATGGAATTGAGGTATATGTTCTTAGTTGGGGGAATCCTACGACRCAAAAGAAAACAAGGTCTACACTAGCTGACACTACAAARGCTTTCTGCAAATCGTTGGAGATACTAGGAGGTTGGCAATGGATTCCTTGACTTGATCAAACCGGTCGTCGGAAGACCTCTCATCTCTCGAGAGAGCTAAAGGCAAAGAATTATCGTTATCCGTCGTTGGCGGTATCCCGCATTTGCTTCGCATCGCCTTCACATAGTCCTGCAATAAATGTGCCAAAAATGATGCGGCGAGAGGCATCCGAAAAATAAGCAKCGATCCTCTTACAAGAGTKTTATCTTCGGTAGTCATCCGTGACAAACTGTGTTGTCACAGAGTTGGTCTGGATGCTGGCTAATAGATACCATAGAAAAGAAGGAATACGTGACTAAGAAAAAAGACGATGGTAACGATTGCCCTTTTCGCTTTTCGATAGCACTTCTACCAGAGTTGGCTTCCAACCTTCTTCTYACCCCTATTCGAACGTACGGTACACTTTTCTTTTCAGTCAAAATCTGTGCATCGGTATGAGTCGTACCTGTACTCGTACGGTTCTTTTTCGTACCTGTACGTCTTGACGATTTYTTACACCTTCGACTATTTCGACTCATCATTTTTTTGTCGAATGGTTCCTTTTGGTCACTGCGTCAGATTTTTTCTTACGTTTTGATTGGCTAAAATACGTCAGATGTATTATGGTTCAGATCGTAATTCTTTGGTTCAAATTTTTTAAAACATTGGAACTGGCCAATCACTACGTCAGTGAATATAAGTGTATTCTTATTGGCTCAAAGACGTCAGAACTCGTCATTTCTTTTTGATTGGTTCTCTCTGATTCAAAACAAGAATCCTACATTCTGTCTCGTGTCGAGTGCGAAACACTAAAAACTCCAATCCTTTCGTCACCCATCAAGCCACTTTCTATTCACACAAAAAGTAGTTGTCGTCTTCCTTTCATGGAAAGGACGAGGAGTACGTAGTGTCTTTGCTTATTTGTTTGTATCGGCCAGATCGCGCCTCCTGTGTAATGTGCAGGAGATAAGTAGCGTTTGCGTTGCCGTTTTACATCATTTTTGCATAGAGATCACATACSACAACAAGACGTCGTGACTTCACCTCAGACAATCATCATACTGTAGCGTTGTATCGGTGCAAACGGACCCATCGCGGATCGAGGGACAACGGACCAATATCTCTTGTACACACCGCAMACCTTTTGGGAAACAAAGCAATCTGCCGCAGTTTATCACAGAAAAAAGGTGTCAAACGCGCACAAAACGGCGCGCGTTCGAGCAGGGTGAGTTTAATTTATATTTATTACACGCGGAAGATTTCTGTTAGCCGAAGTGGCATAGTGCGTGTCCGAAATGGATCTTTGGTTCAAACTTGAACATTTTTGGGCGCGTACGTCGTGCTGTTTGTGAAACTTCACCTTCAATCCGGTGAAATCTCCCCAACAAGATGTTATCGAGTCCAAAAGAAGTTWTTGGTGGTCGTTTGAGCAGCTGATGGATGCCACACTTGAGACTTTGGYGTCGAGATTGTTCGATCTTTTCCAGAGAAGATTTGAAGAACGAAAATAAAGAACGTGGTCGACTTTAGAAGTCACAATTAATTTGCTCACATAGATATTTTTCGTCTCAATATTTCCTTCAATGATACGATTATGCTAGTCGCATATAGGAAAGGAACTTGAGTGAGACATGCAGTTGGTCATTCCAATCGAAGATACGAGCAGTGGTACAAAATGTAGTAACCACTGCGTGGAACAGCAGCWGGAGTTGGAATCGGCTTCAGGCAGATGGGAACCTAGAAACAATGGCTCAATATTGTCGAAGGATCTTCGTGATCAATTCGAAACCATGCAGAGCGTCTGGAGACAAGCGCGTCGWGATGGCGAGGATGTAGATTCCTCGTCATCTAACAACAGCAATAGGGAACGAGGGGGGAACATGCGGTCAGAACTGAAGAGGAAAGAGCGCGAGACGGCGGTCGAGACGGCCATAAAGGTTGACAGAGAAATAGCATTTTGGCAAGAGGGGATAGCAGATCTCGAGGCCCTCTTGGCGGCAGAAGACGAACAAGTAACAAATGAAGAGGGAGCATCTGCTGCAAATAATCAGCATGCAGTAGAAGAAAATGGACCTCCTGGCATTAGAGAAATTTCATTTGTGAGGCGCAATCATTTGCAAGCTCCTGTTCGTCCCGCTCAAATCCAGTTTCCGTTCCTTCCCCCTGCCATTCCCACGGAAGAAGAAAGCGATTAGGTAACAAATTTCAAGTCCTCCTCCTCTTCGTGCTCTTTGGAAGCTGATCTCTTCTGTAATCATGGAACTAGATTACAWCCGAAGAAACCAAGAAGTTTGAGGCATTTGCTCCCATTCATACTGTCTTTGTCTAGTTCGTCAGTCAGTCAGTCAGTGCTGTTCAATTCAAACAAATTGGAAACCACTCATTCGAAATCCAAAAATTAATGGGAAATTCAGAAGGGGTATTGAATAATGTAATATTACATCATTTTGTAACATCAACTCTGTTTTCAACATGAAATAACTACAAGAATTATGTATATGGGTTCCTCAAATTCGATACCATCGCGTGCTCCTCAGTATGAAAAGAACACTTCTCTTATCAAAGGTGTTACCCAGAAAAAGATCATTCATAATTTAATGACAAAGCCTAAAATTGAGTGATAAATKATTGCATCAATGATTGTAAGCGAGTCAACAGTTTCGGTCTCGATACTGCTGCCCTTGGCGAATTGATGGCTACTTTTCGACAGGAGTAGGCGGTGGTGTTTCGGGAACATGAGAAGGAACAAAATGGAAAAAGTGATTTGCGATCCACTTTCCTCCATCGTTTTTATGAACACCATCCTCATCCTTGCTAGCGCTGTTTTCGCCGTCAGGGGACTCCAAATCCGTTTCGGTAATCGGCAATCCAGAATGGAATGCCTTCCAATTCATCGAYCCGTCCAGGTTGTAATTGTAGAAGGCAACAGCATCTCCTTCTTCTACATGGGCAACGACTGGACCGCTACAACCTTTGGAGTCGAGCTGGAGATCCCCGCAATCACCTCCTCTTTCGATTATTGAAGATTTACGGCGACACGTGACCAATACGCCATCGCGGTCGGGCGACTTGTCGCGACAGGCTAGGTCTGCTTCTCTCGAATCCCGAACAACAACATCGTGGTTGTCTGCAAGAGGAAACCAAGTTTCTCCGACACCGTTGAGATAATACAAGAGTGTTAGTAACCGATTGTTCGAGTCATGGTGATTGATATATTCCCCGCCCACATCGTAATAGTGTACAACCTGAAGAGGTTCGATCCCTCGGGTCGAGTGAAAGGGCATCCCGTTCAAAAAGACACCATGACCGTTGCGGGCAACCTGTTCCACCATTGGCATCTCATTCGAGAGCCATCCCACATTGGAAAACCTTCGAGGGTGTTTTCGATGTTGTTCCTTTTTTCGTTCTTGATCAGAGGCAGTGGAAACCTCTTCGTGGATTTCGTCATTGTCGTCCTTGCAGGTGTTAGTTTTACCCTGTTCCATTTCGACCATCGAAAATGCYGTCTGCCGAATCCCGCGACACTGCTTGGGGGTTAGTGCTTTTCTGAAAATGAAAATGGGAGGATCCATCGACACTCTCTCGACTGTTTGTCCGTGGACTTCGTCGCCGTCGTTATTGTACTCCAGAGGTTTAGGTTCGAACAGATTTAATTTCTCGAGCTCTTTGGGAAGACCAGGTGCGAGGGGCTGGTTCTGAACTGTCGCAGCAGCTGCTATCGTACTCGCCCGCAGACTTTGTCGTTGTTTTTGATGCGTATAGCTGCATATAGATTGGWGATTCTYAGCGGAACTGCTATACATCTTGTTTGATTGCCCCCATCGACGTCGTATCGCACCGCAATAACAACTACTAATGTTGGCCGTATTTGTTCCAGGATGAGTCCATCCATTGGAATTACCAAGAAGRAGCATTTGTACCAAGCCGAAGGCGGAAAGTATTCTGGTATCGATTGGCATAATCAATGATTTTTTGTTTTCATCTGTATTCGTTAGTAATGTGTTCAAACAGCACTCATTATGATGTGCAAGGAAGGCTATGCTACGCGTTGCCTAATGCGGATTTTTGCGTTCGAACACGATTAGCATAACGAGAGAGGAACGAGAGGTGGAAAAACATTTTTCTTCAAAACTGGTGGGAATGCAAAATGTA